GACCCTGAGTGCCCCTCAGACCCAAGAAGCACCAGTTGCCAAGCCGGAGGGAGGGTCCTCTGTGGCGGACCCAGGAATAGACCAGAAGTACTTCTGGTCCACTTCCGGGTCCACCACAGAGCATGGGGGAACTCCCCTGTGCTCCTGTAGGATGCTCCATTTGTCCCACTATCTCAGCGTTAACAAGCCACACCTAGTACCTCGAGGTACGTAGCAAAAACGTATAAAGCTGTGTCTATAGTAGAATCTCTCCGGTTTTGAGTTGGAGGCTTCTGATTCAATTTGGAAAGATGCATGGGTGTCCTGATTTTAGATTTGGATTCAAAGATTTGGCTGCTGAATCTCCTTCAAATAGGTGACCAAAGTTTTGCACAACCCTGCAGAACTACTTTAATGTGGCTACTTTGTGTTATGTCTGTACTATAGTCCCATAGCGTAAGCACTAGACTAGTGGTGCCCAATCTCTAGCCCATGTGGCATATGGGGCTATGTCATCCAGTCCATGGGGCTCCACATAAGGCCAGAAGTTTGATGTGTGGGGTGCTGGCAGTATTAATTGCCACAGCTTTCAGAGGGGTCCTTTGCAGCTGGATCTGGTGCATGGAAGCCACGCCAACATGCAAGATTACATGAGCACTCAAACCCCATGCTGGGTCTAATCTGTGAACCAGATCTTGCCTTCAGGATCTGCCCCATGGACTGGCCCTGCTCCACTCATCTAGCCCACAGGACCAGAAGGTTGGGCACTGCTGTACTGGACACTGGAGTCCAAATTGAATTTTCTTTTAACATTTGTTTCACAAAGTAGGAAGAATTCATGGTGGAGAAAAACATGAAATTTCTCCTGTGACTCAGGCTCACATTTTCTTGCATGTTGCACAGCTTGGCAACAAGGATTATCCCTAAATATTGGCAGGTAAAACCAAAGCTCTTTAAACAACCATCTGAGCTACACTGAACAACATTCCTGTCTGTAATTTGAAAATCAAATGGTTGCCCATATTGCAATGTGTCATTTGCAACCACTGAGAGATTCTTATAATGTTGGAATATATTTAAATGTGTTTATTATGATACAAATTATGGAGGAAATTGAAGGAAATCACTTTGATATATAGCTTTAAACCATTTTGATAGCCTGCTTTCATTATAAAAGGAAGAAAGAAAATGACATGTTTGAGGCACAAGATTCTCATGTTTTAAAGTGGTAATACTTTGATTAGCCTGTAAAAGTGTGCTTTTTCTCACTTAAAATGTTAATTTTATAATGAATATAAGATAACACACAGTACACTCTTTTTATTTGTGTGTGTGTGTGTGTGTGTGTGTAGCTGTAAGGTTTTGTTTTAGTTTATGATACCAAAAGTTAAGGACATTCTAATAGCCTCCTATTTTGTCATGAGTATCCTCATTTAATTTTCAGATTACCAGGGTTAAAGAGGTATTAATGAGAAAAAGAGGGTAAGAAATGCCTGATTGTTTTTAAGGACCACCAAGTAATACTTTAAAATGTAATGGATTTATAATTAAATTGCTGTTTACTCTCTCGTTTTACTACGCTGTGTTTCTTCTGGGATTAACAGGCCTCTTCATACTCGGTCAACATTGAAAGAACAATTTTCCTGTGTAGTACACTGGGGGCACTTAAAAATTTAATCCTTATTTTGAGAAGCCATAGGATTCAGAGAGATTCCCCACACTTAATGTAGAAAACACTAGCGATGGAGCTAGTTCTAGAAACGCACTTGCACTAGTCAGGGGCACTACCTACGCTGTTCCCATTGCCTGCTTTTTGTTAGGATTCCTAATTGCAAAAAAAGACATTTTGAGAATAGAGAACTATTTGTGATCATTATTGTTAAATAACAGGCATCTTTAGTCTTCTTTTCTGAAAGTAGTGAAGTCTTTTACTTAAAAGGGAATTTTTTTCTTCAGACTTGTGATGAGATTGTTATCCCATGCCGGCACATCTTTAATGTAAAGCTGACATTCAGTACAGTTTTGTAAAATAAAGTGTATTCTTGTTTTCCACTCCTCACCCCCACCTCCCTCCACACGCACTTTTTCTCTCCATATAACTGGCTATATTTAACCTGTGGCGCTCTACCCTTCACTCTATATACTCTTCCTCTTTACCATTTTCCTGAGATGTCAGTAGCTGATGGAGATTGGAGGGAGTGATACGATTATTATTTGTCTCTGTGTTTTAGGGTATTTGATTCCTAATATAATCTCGTGATCAAATTTTTCTCCTTATGCAAACTACCTTCCCTCTTCTTATCACCCACCCTATCACCAATATTGTTGTAATCGCCAGCCTCCAGCTGCGAGAGTTGAAGTGATGTCACTTTTAATTCTCCTGATGACATGTTGGTTTTTTGTAATAGTGCTTAAGGGTGGTGATTCCTGATGCCGGTCAGTCTTGGGCCTTGCTTGAAAACCTGTTGTCATATCATCAGGGAAGGAGACTGTATTTGAGGTTTCTCTGCAGTTGTTTTTGGTTATTAAAATTTTGCATCAACCACATCACTTGTT